TTAATTCTTATTATAAAGTCGATCAAGATAATTTATTTTGGCGAAATTTTTATAGACACCAAAATAAGCGGAATGTTTAAATATATAGTTTGGAGTAAATGAAAAACGTAAGATGTGTATTTATATTTCGTATATTATTGGTCATATATTATCAATCAACCCTAACACTTGGGTTTAGTAATGGGTGGCGTGTTGTAATGTACACTTTTTTAATGTATATTTTATTTGATAAAGTGATTATTTTAACAGATGTATTAATTTTTATGTAAATGACTAATGATATTTATTACATTAACGAAATTGTAAAGATCACTTTTTCATTTTATATAAACTTTTGATTCAATTTAATTTTATAATAATAACAAAAAATATAAAGAGAAAGTAAACAAAATTTTATCTCAGAGTATCGCCATCAGAGGCGATACTCTTATTCCAAGAAAATATATACGTTAAATTAAATAAAATTTCAATAATTATATCTGAATCTCCATTAATTATAAAATCATGTAAATTCTTTTATTCAATTTATGAAGGTTTATTCTTTTTAAATTACAAATATGAAAATTATTATGGCGTTTTAATTTATTAAAATTTCTTCTAAATTTGAGCCTCTATCTTTTTAATAAGGACTCCGAAGCCACAGTGATATTTCGGCTAAAACTTGGTCTAGCCGATTTTTTTAAAGGCCCAAAATATATTTGGCTTGAAGAAATTTAAATTGTCGTTAAATTTTAAAAAATTAATATAAATTTTAATTAAAGTTAAATTATCTGAAGTTTTTAAAAAATAATAAATGTTTTATTTACTTTCAACTTCAAGTTTTTAAAGGTAAATGTGAGGTCCGTGAAGTTGGCCCCACACTTTTTGATTTTCAATGGTTTATCAGTTGGACTGATTTGTACCCGATTTGTACAGTTTTCAGTTCGATTTGTACCATCACCGTTTTTGAGATATTCAATGAACAAAATGTGGGGGGGGGGGGGGGGCAACTTCACGACAGCCCCCCAACTTTTGAATTTGATAGAGAATGATTTGTACCGTTTTCAGTTCGATTTGTACCATAACCGTTTTCCAGCTATTAACCGTTATAAATATGGCGCCAAAAATAAAAAACACTCAAAATTTTTTTTTTAAATTTCTTAACGTACAACGATAGAGAATTTTTTCTCTTCCTAATGATACCTCAAATTATGCTTTATCTTCATTATTATTTCGGAATTAAACCTTATATTGTAGCGTGAAGTTAGCCCTCCCCCCCCCCCGATATTCAAAATTTAAGATTTTTAAAATTTTTAAAACGGGATTGATTTGTACCCGATTTTTGCCGTTTCAAACTCGATTTGTACCATTACCGTTTTCCAGCTATTGACCGTTAAAAATATGGCGCCAAAAATAAAAAACACTCATAATTTATTTTTTTAAAAAAAAATTTTTAACGTACAACGATAAAGAATTTTTTTCTCTTCCTAATGATGCCTCAAATTAAGCTCTATCTTCATTATTTTTTTCGGAAATCAAATTTTAAACCTTATATTATAGCGTGAAGTTAGCCCCACCCCCCGATATTCAAAATTTGAGATTTTTCAAATTTTTAAAACGGGATTGATTTGTACCGTTTCAAACTCGATTTGTAACATTACCGTTTTCCAGCTATTGACCCTTAAAAATATAGCGCCAAAAATAAAAAACACTCAAAATGTATTTTTTTAAAAAATTTTTTAACGTACAACGATAAATAATTTTTTTCTCTTCCTAATGCCTCAAATTAAGCTTTATCTTCATTATTTTTTTCGGAAATCAAATTTTAAACCTTATATTATATCGTGAAGTAGCCCCCCCCCCGATATTCAAAATAGTTTGCTTATTTATAAATATTTTTCAAAAATGGACACGTAATATAGAATATTACTTTATTATATATATAAATAAATATATTTACAAAAATAAACACAATAATATATGATTTCGTTTTATTAAAGAAATATATTGATGTTTAATTTGAAGGTGTTTCTGTTGAATTTGTAGGTTATAATTCAACAGTAGTGTTTTGATTCTTTGATTGCTCCATCAAAGTTTCACATTTGAAAAAGTATTTACTTATGCTATGATTGTAGATACAATCTAAAATAATATTAAATTAAAAATATATTTTACTGGCTTCAGATGGCACCCTTTCCAAAAGAGCCAAAAGTTTATCATCCAAGAGCGCATTTATTTTTTAACTAGTAACATTTGGTGTAATTTCTTTTATCATTGTTCATAAATATTTACTAATTTTTTGGTAACCTTATCCTATATTCTAAAATGATATAATATCAATTAATATATTATAAAATGATATAATATAAATTACTATATTCTAAAATTATATAATTATAATTAATATATTCTAAAATTATATAAAATAAATATAAATTAATATATTCTTAAATGATATAATATCAATTAATATATGAGATAAATTATACATAATTTTTTAAAACCTCCCATACATTAGATCCGATGTGATGTGGCTAACAATAATAATAGTAACTACGTGGAAATGTCTTAAAGGAAAATTACGTCGTATAAGGGAATTTTATATAAAGCCCGTAGGCCAAATGATATTAGCAGAGGATATTGAAAATCTTCGAAAAACTTTATATTCAATATTTGTTATAGCATTAAGTGAGACAGAAGGAAATAATATTCACAATCCTAAAGAAATTACTCAATGTGAAATCGCAAAAAGTTGGCTTAAAGAAATTTGGAAATCTTAATATAGACTTTTCAGAATCAACCAGAATAGGAGAATGATAAAATTGAGGAGCCCTTATATGATATCAATTGTTTCATTGATTCCCAATCAGGTAATAATAAATTCGCGCAATGGGGTTCTGATCTTCTAAAAGAGGCTAAAAATACGTTAGAAGATCAAGGAGATCATGACAATCTTCAATATCTACCTGATATAATTACACAATTTTACACCTTCTAAAACTATTACCCTTGTGGACTGCGATATTGATCAGATATTATAAAAAATAACATCACAGTGTCAAGTGCTTCATCAGAGAGCAACTTTAATAATATTAAAAATAGAATATTTGCTAATAAAAGTCTTCCAATAAGAATAGATGATTTTGTATTACATTATATAACCTCCCTCAATGCTACGATGAAATTAGCAGCAGCTGGAGCTAAAGATATCCTAAACTACCTCAACCAACAATAGATGGAAATTCATCTCTTGACGTTGTAAATATCTTTTTTTATAAAAAAACATTTTTATTATATGACGCTTATTTAAAAATTTTAAAAATATTTGCTTTAAAAAATTAAAATGTAGGATTGCATAGTTTTTCCTTCATCAGTTATTGCATCTATGACTTATAAGAATCCACAAATAGTCCAAGAGGTAGAAAATATTTATTATATAGATTACAATTATAATATTGTTTTTTATAGAAATTATCGACAACTCCTTCCGAATTTTCTATAAGGCATGTAGTATAATTTGAGGCATCATTAGGAAGAGAAAAAAATTCTATCGTTGTACGTTAAGAAATTTAAAAAAAAAAATTTGAGTGTTTTTTATTTTTGGCGCCATATTTTTAACGGTCAATAGCTGGAAAACGGTAATGGTACAAATCGAGTTAAAAACAGTACAAATCAATCGCGTTTTAAAAATTTGAAAAATCTCAAATTTTGAATATCGGGGGGGGGGGGGGGGGGCTAACTTCAAGCTAAAATATAAGGTTTAAAATTTGATTTCCGAAATAAATAATGAAGATAAAGCTTAATTTGAGTCATCATTAGGAAGAGAAAAATTTCTCTATCGTTGTACGTTAAAAATAAAATTTTTAGATAAAGCAAAATTTGAGGCATCATTAGGAAGAGAAAAAAAATTCTCTATCGTTGTACGTTAAGAAATTTTAAAAAAAAAATTTTGAGTGTTTTTTATTTTTGGCGCCATATTTTTAACGGTCAATAGCTGGAAAAAGGTTATGGTACAAATCGAACTGAAAACGGTACAAATCATTCTCCATCGACCTATGCACTTATTATTTTTAAGTTCAAAAGTTGGGGGGCTGTCGTGAAGTTGGCCCCCCATTGTTCTTTGTTCTTTGAATATCTCAAAAACGGTGATGGTACATATCGAACTGAAAACAGTACAAATCGTGTACAAATTAGTCCAACTGATAAACCATTGAAAATCAAAAAGTGTGGGGCCAACTTCACGAACCTGTAAATGTGTTATTTATTTTTATATTTTAATTATTTTTACAAACAAAATATTTTTATCTCAATGGGTATTTTTATCTTTAATTTAATCAACAAGTTTATTAAATCATCACAACACTGAAAAATAATATTTAATAATTCAAAAATATAAAAAAACGCAATGAGTGTTAAAGATAATTATGTTATGGCAAATTTTAAAAAATAAAATGTTCAAGAAATAATTAATTATCGATATTATAACCAAGAAATTTTTAAAGTTGTAATCTTATAAACCCCACAAAAGTTTTGAAGAGGGTTGTTAACTATATAATATACTAATATATGTGCATTTAATATAGTCTGGAAGAGAAAAAAATGGCTAGGTCAAATTGATTGAAGCACCTCAATTTAAACAAATATTTAAATGGTAAGAAAATGAGTTAATGTATAATAAAATAATAAACAAATCTTTAATTTATAATTAGAATAATAAGATTTAATTTAAGATTAGTAAATGAGATTTATTTTTTCTTAGTTTTCATTTATCTGAACCTCGGGTCTAAACTACGGTCTGAACTCCGGATTCGTGTTCAAAGCAGGCCTGAGTACATAATTGGGTCGTAAATTCTACGACCAAGCAAATTAACAACACTATGTGTGATACATGAAGGTATAGGGTATTCAATGTTAGCATAAGTAAATCATTCGATTATGTTATATAATAAAAACCTAACAAAATCCACATAAATTGAACATAGAGGATGTTTTAATGTTTATTTTTTATAATGTAAACGCACCGATCTCAAGGAAAAGAGGACCAGATTTTGATAGGAAACCTTTTGATTCACATTTTGAAACCGCTTTTGATTGATCAATTTCTTTAGAAAGAACCGGTATTTGATTTGCGTCGTTTGGCGAATTATCGCAAGATGGAATCGAAACTGGGACTGGTGGCAAAGGTCGGGAAGCGAAGTAATGATCGTGTTGATTTGATATCACCATATCCAATTAGATAATTGGTGTAATAATAAAATGAAATTATCAATCCTTTAATTGGGGCATGGTGAGAATAAAAGTTTGAAGGACTTGCAGATCGATTAAAATTTGACGATAAATTTTTATATGTGAAGGCATAAAAAGAGTTTTATGTCAAATTTACCAAATGATGTAGTGGGCTTTTCTTAAAAAGTCTAATTTTTAAATTTGAAATGGGGAGGGTAGGCAAGCTAGCTATCCCAAGATTAATTATATATTTTATTTCGGGTAATTATTTAATAGTGAATATTTTTAAAAAAACTATGGCAAAATTGTTGCCAGGATAAAGTGGACTGAGTGTTGATAGAAATGAAGAGATCGTGGATTCTGAATTTTGGATGTTTTGCTAGGATTTGAGTTTCGAATTATTTATATATCTAAAAAGATAAAAGGTAATAAGTTATTTAGTATTTAATCTAATAAAAAAATTAAAAAAAACAGAAAATTTTATTTTTCAACTCTGTTTACTTCCAGATAAGTGCTCTCTTATAAAACGGTAATGTGACAAAATTCAATGCAAAATATCTCGGATAGTTACCAAAAGCCGGAAGTAAACACCCAAAAATGGTCATACAAAATAAATTTCTTATAGTTTTTATATAAGCAGAAACTGCTGAATTATATTAAAAATTCTAGATTGGGCTGAGCACTGGTCTAAAGTATAACTAGAAAAATTATACATTCGATTCAAATATTTAAAATGAATAGGAATAATATATTATTCGTAAAATGATTTTTTATCTATTATTCGATAAAATTATTTTATAATATTGGTAAATAATAATTTTATATTAAAAATTATTCATAATATATGAAACTCTTTATATTTAAATATATTCCTAGGGGATGAACAGGGAATCTTTTATCTTTTTTTCTACTTCATCCATTTTAAGGAAAAAATTGATATGGCCAAATAGTTGTACAAAAAATGAGATATTTTAAATTAAATTTATTCTATAACATGCAGAATTAATATTATTAATTGATTTTATCTATCAGCATATTGATTTTTATATATAAACTTAAAAACATTGTTTCTATATTTTAATCTACTCAGTAAAATTTATTTAACTTATACCTGGATAGAATAATTTTTAAGCAACTTAATAATCCGTTTATTAAAATTTGTAATAGAATATTTATATTTTAGAATCTAATTGAATATTTGATGATATTTATATGAAACAACACAATTATTCGATTTATTTTTATGCTAGAGGTTATGTAGCTAGATTTATTTCATGGTTAAAATTTATTATATTTAAAGTAAATATCATCCATATACATATAATATTTTTGCAAAATAATGTGGATATATTTAATCATGTTTACATAAATCATAGGAGTATCCAGGATTTTCCTGAGGGGGTGGGAGGATTTTAGGGTTTTTGCCTCCAAATTTCCTATTAGATGACCTTCGGCTGGCTTTTGCTAGACCTACGGCAGGATAACTTGTTTCATTTTATATATATAAGAGACCTGTAGAATAACCATTTGAACGCTCGGTTTTTTTTTTAAATTTTCGGCGCGGAATTTTTTAAATATTACATTTATTAATTAATTTTTATACTAATAATGGCGATTTAAAATATTTTGGTTTCAAAATAAACGGCCCAGCCCGGCACGAATATTTTTTCAAAAAAAATTCAAGGCTGGCCCGGGTATATTTAAAATATATAAAATCAGATAGGACCTGCAGGTCTCTGATATATATTATATACTACACAGAATTCCTGTCATATCAATATTATTTAGCTTTACATCAATTTTTTATTATTCTTAAATCAGGTATTTATATTTAATAAATAATTTTTTTTAAATGTAAATTTAAATCAAGTTTAATAACCAGTAAATTATTTTTAAAATTTAAATCTGGGCAAATCTTTAAAAGGCCTCGTCTTAGTTTATAAAATTCTCAAAAAATATAAGATAAGAATTTAAAAAATTGATTGAGTATACTAATTGCAGTGAACATATAAAATAATGACTAGAAAATAATAAAAAAAATAAGTTATTATAAAATTTTATCAATCACCGTATTCTATAAATGATCGCTTTCCTGTCTTCTTAATGCTAATTTGATTTATCAACTTTCCTATCATCTTTTTAACATAAAATTGAGGAATATTTATAACTTATGTTAAATTTTAAATCTATCCGCCAATCGAGTTAGGAATCGGTTTTAGATTGAAATCTGACTTAAGAAAGGAATATTTGTTTTTGCCAACGACCAGATTTGTCGCTTGCCCCCTAATAAAGAAGGCAAATAATTTAACTAAAATCAAATTAAACCTATCTGTAATATATATTTCTCATATGCAGTCTTCAATTTCAAATTCTCATTTTCTTCATCAAACAATGAATACCTATATTCTTCTAAATATAAACCAAAAATATCTGAATCGTAAGGGATTATGTCATATATAATTATTTTATTTTTTATTACATTTATTTTGCCCTTCAAGAAAAATGGGGAATCAGAATTTTCTCCTTTATTCGATGAGTCATTATTTACCAATTATCTGTTCATATTGAAGGTACTAATATACTGTTAACATTTATTAAAAATATGGCAAATTAAGGAATCATATAGCAAGCAATAAAAATACATTTTTGATTCATCCGTCAAGGAGAAATATTCAAACCGCCCGTCATTCTTTGGGGGTTAGCTGCAGGATACATATCCGATTGGCCAATCATTTTTGACTTGTTAGTTGCTAGTAAAATTAACAAATATTATATAAAAAAACTATAAAAAACTATAATTATAATGATTTATAATTATCTCTGGAGTTACTTAATTCATCATGAATTTCATAGGTTGTAGGAGCCATATTTCTATGCATATTTAAGAGCTAACCCATTTAGCCGAGATTCATATGTGCTATTTCTTAAATGGATTTTCAACCTTCTTATGTCTTAATAGGCAAACATTCAAGAATATAAAACAATTTCAAAATATTTGGAAATGGTGCGAAAATTTCTTTACACTTATTGAGCGTATAAATAGCGCGCTCAAGCAAAATTTCCAAAGAATATAATTTCGCTAAATATTTAATTTTATTAATAGTGGCATCAGAGAATGTGGAGTGGTCTTGAGGTAATAAAATTTGAAATTTTCTTTTTTGATCTAAATAGCGTAGTTTTATTTGAGATAAAAATGTGTCCACAAATGGGATGATGATTGATATCTTTATAATATTCTTCAATCGAATCTATATTTATAATGCATCTTAAAGATTGCCTAAGCGCCAGTCTAGATTTAATTAATGTTATATCATAGCACATTGCCTTAGATTCAACATCAAGATAGATACGATGAAAATATTTATATACGTTCATCCTTAGGTTATTCAATCATCTGAACCAAATCTTAGTTTGATTTTTGTAACAACTTAACATACTATTTCGGCATTAAAAAAATTTTGTTAATAAAAAGATAAACTCTGATTTATCTATTGAACTTAATAGTGTAGTGATAATGTTTTTGAAGAAAACACTATTATCATGTTTGTTATATCATGTAAAGCTATATGAATCATCTCTTACAATTCTATAAAAGCTGAAATTGAATCATGACGTAAGACCCATCATGTAAGGCACATTTTTTAAATTTTTCGATGCCCGGATATCTGTTGAATTTATTGATATGGTTTTACTCAATACATCTTATCGCTTAGAATATCTAAAGAAATTACAAATTTTGGATAAAATTCCTAGAAAAAAAGTTATTTTCATTTCTATGTCAAAATACCCATAGTATTGTACATAGAAGGTAGCATTAATCAATATAATCAAATTTAATATATGAGTCATACAACTAACAATTTTGAATTAAATGTAGTAAATCATAAATAAAATAAAACTAAACAACTATAGTCAAACATTTCTAATTGGGGATCAATGAGACCAAGATTATTGTCCACCTAGACAGTTATCCGACTTCTCAAAATTTTTACTTTTTTTTAAGGAAATTTTACCATCTGTTATATTCTGTTTAGCAAAAAAGGGATTATGTTCAATCATATTCTACTTTCTAGTAATCATCAAATCATGACTAAAATTAAATATGTATAAATAAACTTATACCTACGGGCCATATTTTAATTTTCTAAATACGGTTTAGGTCTAAAAAAAAAATTTTAAATACCCGGGCCGAATCTAAAATCTTTTTAAAAAATTACCCAGGCAACCCTAATATTTTAAATCGCCATTATTAGCTATAAAAATTAATGGCGCCTGAAAATAAAAAACCCAGGCTAAACCAGGCCAAAAAAAAATAAAAAAAAATAAAAAAAAATTCGGGCCGTGCAAATGATACCTCTGCAGGTCTCTGTCTTATACAAAATAGAATGTATACATATATATATAAATCACAAAATTGTTCTATATAAAATGAGAATAAAAATATAAAATTAATTCATGAAATAAAATAAGATACTATATTAATGAATTATTTATATTTGCATGTGTGACAGTTTCTTTAGAAAATATTAATCTTAGCATATATTTAGAGTATGATCAATTATAAATTTAATAACCTAATTTTTTAATTAAGGACTGATATTTGTCTTCTTTATTAATTTTGACATTAAAAAGATGATAAAATTTTATAATATAAATGAATGAATGACACAAAAAATAACAAATGCCAACTCTATAGATTACGCATATAGACGAAAAATAAAAATTGCCCACTTTTTAGGGTATGACTAAATACTGAATTGCTAAAATGAATTGCTAAAAAGCAATTAATCATAATCAATCAAATTTTTATTATGTATTTATTTTATGTAATGAAAATTTTTAAAACTTTTTTTAAAACTTTTTTTAAAATATACTTAAATTATTTTTTTATTAAATGAAGGATACTGATTAAATATCATATAATATATAATTTTATTTTGAGTTAATATTATTATAAAAGAAATATTTTCATAGCTTATTAAAAATAAATTTTTTTCAATTTTAAAAATTAACAAATATATATCCGTAAGAGGGCGTTATATGCGTAAATATGTAAGTATCATTTTAGGAAACCGGAATGATGATTTGGATAGCGCTTTTTTTATATTTGGGTATATATACATATGAAAAACCTAAAAATTAAAAAAAAAATTTAGGTTTCTTTGATGTTTAATTTATGAGTAGGTTTAGAATAGTAAAATAATGGAAATTTTTTAAGGTAAATATTGCTGGCGTTTTAAATCAAAATATCTTAATTTTTGTTTTATACGTGTATATTTACGTGCTAAGCATTATCCTAAAAAATCTTTTGAAAATAATTTGATTTGACCGATTGCCGAGCTCAAAACCGACCACTTACTAAATATTCGATTGACCAAATTTACTAGTAATATAATTTGAAAAATGTTGA